TTAAGAGGAAAAATTGACAAAATTGACTCAGCACTTAGTGATTGTATTTCACTCAGAACATTTTTATTTACTCACCCAAATAAGACGAGCTTTTCCACAAATTCCTTTACATATTTTATTCTGGACGTCAAAGCTCCGAGTTTAGCTTCTGGTTTAACCGATTTGATATCAATCAAGCCGTGGAACACAAATAAACAGTGTTGCGTTATGCATGTCACACTAGTCTACTATACCTAGCTTGCCACGACCCGACAATATGAAATTGCCCAAACTTGCCCGCTGTAAATGAACCCAATGGAAGAAGTTATGTCAGTATTTCACTCATAAAACATTCATTTGCTCACTCAAATAAGCCAATTCTTTCTACGAATTTCCTTAGAAATATCATTCAGCTTGTCTTTATTCGGGTTTGTATATCACTGGTTGTTTTTTAGAGCAAATCTTCGAGTTGTTGACCGAGACGGCGTTTATATGGTCTGATATCGTTTAAAGCCTAGTTAAAAGAGTTCATTGAGAAACACTTGATTTATATGGTAAGTTAGGCTGATTTTTCCTCAAGATTCCATCGGRACTGGTATTCTTTTTGTTCTTTAGTGTTTTTTCAAGTTCTTGTTTTGTCGTTTATTATTTTATTGAAGAAATAATTGCGTAGAGTTGACTGTTACTAAAAGTGTTTGCCGTGGCATTGAAGCTTGTTGATTGCCCTTACAAAATTATTTTGGTCTTCGTTCAAATCAAAATTAAAACTCGAACAAACTTTTCTATGCTTTCTATGTTCGTTTATAGCATTTAATAATCTCACTGAATCAGTGAACACGAATGAGAATAAATGACTTACTAGTAAAACTCTGCGATGAAAGTCTACCGCGAGAAATTGAAGGTCGCCAACTTTATTCAATGATGGACTTTGCTCATCTCCCGATAAAAAGCTAAAGATATAAAATTTTGGCCACATATATCCTCAAAGAACATGCACATTCGATTCCACAATAGCCTGCATGTGAACTCGCACATGAAGTTATCAACACGTCATCCAATCCATATATGGGTAATATTGCGCAATTTTTCCATTTTGTCGAGGAGGAAAAAAAAATCCAGACGTATTCTAAGACTGTTTTCCACAGGCAACCCAGTAAAAATAAGTACTATAGACATATATCATTTTTCTCTAAAAGTCAGTGATTTAGATTTAGATTTCATCAGAGAATTTATGTATTTATTAACTAATATCACACCGCTGCTTTTGTTTCGTTTGTATGTTTGCATTTAGGGAGTTTTTTCACATAAGGCTAACCTCCAAACTTCCTTTCAGGGTGCTTATTTAATTCGGTTTATTTTTGCTGCGTTTTATAGTTTTTGCTTTCGCTCTTACTATTTTATTGTATTTCACTGATTATTTGCGTCCTGAATAACCTACTATTGTATTGTATTGTATGGGGCTATATCCACCGTTAGCACACCGGTCCCTGAATTTTAAGATAATGAATGTGGCCTATTAAAAATACTATATTGAAAGCAACCTTTTCCCCTTGACTTTTCCTTGACCCATTAGAACCCTGTGCCTGGAGGTGAAAAGTCCCAATGAATATTTATGTCTTGTTGAAAAGTCTTTTTTTTTAATGACAGTCTGGGCGGCAGTTTGCGGCCAGTTTCTCTCTACAGCAGCCTGAGAAAGCCGACGTTCTTTGTATTTTACTGTTTACCTTAGGAGATGTTTAAATGTGTGAATTTATAGGCTTGTGGTAGGGAAGAACTCCTACTTCCTATAAGTTCCTTTCGTAAAAAGATCGAATAACAACTTTACAAACTAATTTACTAACCTCGAATTTGCCGTCTTTTTTCGCTACAAACTTCTGGGGAGGAAACCATATGGGAACCATATTAAAAAGTACCATAAGTTTACTGGAGGAGTACAATGTTTGGGTTTTCCTGTTTCTTTTTGAGAAAAAAACATTCGATCACAAGGATTTCCGCGCGCTTTCCGAAGACGCGTCTGTGCCTTTCAGAAAGTAAGGAATCGGCAAGCGCCGAAAAATAAGCGCCTGTGAATTAAAAAAACATGCCCAAAACAAAACAGGCCCAAAACAAAACAAAAAGTGATGCAAAGAAAACTGAGATATGAAAGGAAAAAATGCTTGT